CTCCTGTAGTATTTTAGTACACCAGGAGCGAAGTATAAGTTGTAAGCACATGGATTTGGGTCCCACGAACATTGCGCCGTAAACACTTGAATATTCAAGTATCCACAACGCATCGCAGCACAAACCTAGCCCCCTCAATACATGAACCTTTTTCTTCTTTTCCCTATCTTTTCCTACCTTTTTCTTCAAACAAAACATAACATTAAAGATGGCTTTCTATTTAGAAGAAAGTATCCTTTGCACCACATAATTTTCTATTTTGTTAAGACTTGGGAGGTCTTCCTCTCTAAATAAGGAAGACCCAATACGCCATCTGGAGAGCTTTCATCATTGGCATGAGCTTTGTCCTACTGTGACCTTAACCCTTTCTCAAACCCTCCATTAAAGCTTCCCAACGCCTCCTTAGTAAGTTACCATTAAGAACTGGTTTATTTCCAGAAGTATGGGAATGCAAATTCTGATTTGGTTTTTTTTTTTTTTTCAACTTGTGCTTTATTTTTATGTGTTCTCATTGAAGATGAAGTAAAATAAAACGTGAAGCAAAGAAAAGTATAACATGAAGTAAAAGTGAACCAAAATTTGTATTCTTCTCATTTTTACATTGAAGGCTCAGTTTGGAACGAGTACAAATGCATATGTATTTTTATGATGACAAAATTCTTTGTACTTGGCGTAAAAATAAAAGGATAGATGTCCTCCTACCTGAGGTATGGTTTTTAAAAATGAACCGGTGATTAAACCGGTCAGGGGTCCAGTTACTGGTTTGAACGGTCTGATCGTTTAACCTGAACAGCCGGTTCATTCTGACAAAAAATTAAAATATTGGAAAACGGTCAAAACCGTTCGAACAATTCGAACAATTGACCGACCAGTTCAACGGTTTGCTGACCAAAATCAACGGTTTTGAGGAAAAAACGGTTTTGGAGGAAAACGGAACTGATCAAGTGACCGGTTTCCAATTTTTCCAGTCTGACCATCCGGTCCAGTCCGATTTTAAAAACAGTGCATTGAAGTGATACGCTAGATTCCATGTCCGGTTTAAATTAAACAATCTAGTTGATTTAATGTTAGATTGTTTAAACAACCTTTGTATCCTTACCATAGTTCCTTGTCAGGGCTGTCCAACCACAAGGGCATATAATGTGGGTCAATACCCATACTAGATTTTGTGTGAAGACTCAGGCTCAGTTTTGAAGGAGTATAAATATAAATATGTACAGTATAAATACATATAAAATAATATAAAATGTAAGGTTTTCTATTCTATAAATTTGTATTACTCCTTACAAACTGAGCCTTAGTGTAGATTCACATAAAATTTAGGTCGGATGTTTTATTTTATTATTTTATATATAAACAGTTGTATATATTAAAATTTTAATTTCTTGTTTATCTTGTTAATTTATTTTAAAATTTTCATTATATTTTTCATTTTTTTAAATATGCCTCTCATAGCCCAGCCCACGACTTGACCTGGCCTGGCCTAGGCCCACCTGGGCTCATGCCTTGGGCCTCATCTTTTAAGTGTTCCAGGCCAGACAGGCACAACCCTCTTGGGCCCGTCTACTGGCATGGTCCGACCCACAAAGTTGTGCCATGTTGGCCTGGCATTGCATACTTTACACCTCTTGGATCTGTTGCATAGACATCATCAAATTGACACGTTGACATCCTCATGTTGGTCCAAAACCGCGACATGGTTGTATATGTGATTTGGGTCCAACCTATTTTATGCCACATGTTGCCGGACTAGGTTCCAATCGACCCCTTATCTATATGAATGGAAGTGCAGGAGAACCCAAGGGTGAAATTACCTAGCTTACAACAAATAGGAATGGCAACGGGGCAAGTTTAGGGCGGGGATCATATTTTTTGTTCTTGACCCCAATTTTGAAATAAATCCCCATTCCCAACCTTGATCCCAGTCGGTGATAAAAGTTGTCATCCATCCCTGATCCCCAACAGGGATGGGTTCTTTGTGGGGACTCGAATCCCCGAAATTTTTTAGTTAACTATATCTTTTGAAAAATAAATTTCCTTAAAATAAATAAAAATTTTAATATATAAACAATATTTTAAAAATATTTTAATATATATAATATAAATAATATCTTATATATAATAATATATATTTAATATATTTATGATCGGGGTTGGGTGGGGTAACCCCGACCCCGATCGGGGATCCCTATTAATCCCATCTTTGTCCTTGCCCCACCAAACAATCCCCACTAGGTCGGGGAAGTCAGATGTTCGTTGGGGATGGAGAAAATTGTCATTCCTAACAAATCAGTTTTAGTGACATTTTTTTTTTCTTTTCTATCATCTAAGTACACATCTGCGCAATTCACAACATAATGGTCCATATCGGTCGATACGTATTGTACCTTTAAGGGGTTGGCACGGGAAACGCTAGAAAATCATTTGTATCATTTCTTTTCATCGTGCCATCCACGTATCAGGGTTGATCGATGGATATAGTAAGATTTTTCTGTAGCCAAAAAACAAATTAAAAACTTTTAAGAAAAAAAAAGGCTTCTAACTCTCTCTCTATCTTAAAGCCTTATTTCTCTCCCAAGCTCACCAAATCATCCCTACACATTCTTTGGTTGTAAGATCTTTAAAAAACCCAAAAAGAACATCCGAGACTTACGATTTTTTATTTATTTTTCAACTTATTTGATAATATATTATTATATTTTGTATTTGTTTTTTGTTTTGATGCTTGAAAATGATTGTACATAGATTGATATACTCTCCTTGTGTTGATAATCCTATATGTTTTTTGTGCTTTAAATAGATCTATGTAATATTTTAAATAAAATCCAAAAATAAAATAAAATAACAAAAAAAAATTTCTATTTTTGGTGTAATCTACCCATAAAGACTAATTGTGTCATAGATCTGTGGGTGATCTACCATCTCCATATATCTATTGAAATTTCTATAAAATATTCATTTTTTGTAATTTTTAGAATAAAAAAAACATTTATTTTTTATTTTTTGTAAAAAAAAGAATATATATTTTTTAAGATTTTTTGTATTTTTAGAATAAAAATATTTATCTTTTATATTTTTTTTAATTCATAGATGCTATATCTATTGAAATTTCTTGTGAAATATTTATTTTTAATTTTTTTAATTATTAGAATACAAAATACTTATTTTTTTTTTATAATTTTTGGTGTGATCTAACAATAATATTTACCATGTTAATCTATGGATGATTTATCATATCCATAGAGCTATATTTTCTTACATTTTTAAATTTTGTTATAATTTTTGGAATAAAAAATAAAGTAATTATTTGAATAAGAAATAAATAATTGCTTAAAAAATTAAAGAAAATATTTTCTTAAATAATTATTAGGCTTATATTTTGTAGTTATAACCTTATTAGAGAATACCCTTATGTTCCCGTATGTTGTTTATGATATATTTTTTTTTCATAAAAATCACTAAAGGATGTGATTTTCATGTATAAATAGCTCATTTAGGCATTACATTTAATGCTATTGGTGTATCTTTATGATTTATTGGAGTATCTAGTCTTTCCATGCATTTCCATGCATATTTTAATTTATTGTCTATATCCATACGTATCCAAGGCATATCACAATACATCTCTTAAATTTGTCTTTCCGATACATTTAGCAGTTCCAATACTTTAAACCTTGCATTTGCACCTCATAAGTGCCCCACAACACATCCCAAACATGTATTGGAAACATCTCCCATACTAGCCATTGGGAGAAGCTCCCAATACACAGTTGGGATGTGTTGTGGGGCACTTGTGGGGTGCACATGTGATTCACTATCATCTGTCTATTAATTTGTTTTCCTTCTCTTTAAATTCGAAATTTTTTTGCCTATTTTACTCTCAAACAACATAGCCATATCTGAAACATTTCAGCTTAAAAAAGTCCAGTGTTATTTTTTGTTAAAATAATAATTCAAATATATAATAAATATTATTAACAGAATTATTTAATTATATTCTTATTTAAAACTCAAGGATCAAAATTTCACAACCTATTGATCAATACGAATGTATCGGTAGGTGATTGATACATAAAATATTGGTGTTTTAGGGTTTTGACCCATTTCAGGGGTAGACAGGCCTAAGACTGACCCTCTGACTTATTTTTGAAAAAAAAAAAAACTAAAGAAAAAGCATAGAAGGGTTCAAAGTACCGATACACCCCTTCTAACGTATAACATTTTAACTTTTTTTTGTGTATTTTTAATTTTATTTAGTTTATGTTCTTTACTTCTTTCTCTTGCTGCAAGGCAAAATTCCGTACTTTTTTGTACTTACCATTACGAGGTGAGTGTTCAAAATAATTAACTCGTGTTAATAGACCGTAAAAACCCACATATTAGTGAATTGTGAGAGCGTGTCTTTTTTTTCTTTTTTAGTTTTCTTCTAGGGGTAGAAATAGACAACAGAACTCATCTTTTTTTTTATTTTATTTTTCTGTGAAATTGACGAAATTGTGAAGTTTGAATTTTTTTTTTTTGAAGGTTGAAGTTTGAAAGTTCCTCACTGGTGCAAACAGACTGAAGCATTTTGGAATTGCTGAATCCTAGAGTCTGGCTGCCTTCAACAATTAGTTCATCTCCTCTTTATTTACAAACTGCTACTACCTCTACGTTCTGCTAATCATATGTTATCCACTACAAGATTGTAATTATTTGATAGTTATCTGATTTGTTTTATTTATTGTTTAAACCAAATATTTTGTCTGTGACAGAAAGAAATGGAGCATAACCGATCAAATTCTAGTTCATGATAGGCCATAATGCCAAGTTGCCAACTGGCTACATCCTTCATCCTTAAGGCTTAAGGTGACGCATCATCTAGGTCAAGATTCAAGTCATGAACCATTTGTACAACATGCTGCATTTGGTATTCAAAGGGTATCCAGGCATACCAGCAAGAAGATTGTAACAGTGAACCGTGAAAAGAGAGAAGTTACAAGTCCTGAATGCAATGCAAGTAGATCCAGATAAGAGCTTTCCATTTGATTTCTAGACAGAATTGATGTATAACAAAATTGATTTCCATGCCTTTGATTGGGAATTGTTGGCTTCATGCCTGTCTGAATGTTTTGGACATCAGTGAAGAGTAACCAAGGAGTAAAATTTTCCTGCTATAAATATAAGTGAAAAATAACAATACAACATTGAAAAATCTAAGCCGGTAAATATTCCATGTAAATCGGTCTGGCCACTAGAGTAGGGAACTTCAGCTGCACACTGCTTCCACAGCAAGTTTCTTTGTCAAGCTGGAGCACAGATCTTTATTGAAGTTCTCTTCTGATAATGCTACCTCACAACCATTTTTGTTTAGACAGATCTGCAACAGAAATCAAATAAATTTAGCAATTGTAGAGAGACATGCCAAGTCACCAATACCTAAAATCCTGACAAATATTCCAGTTACAGATATGCACAAGGCAGAGTCAAGCTCACAATTCAATTGGATAGCCTATATGATATTTATGTGCTTGGAGATTTGATCCTAGTTTCAAACAAGAAAAAAAAAAGGAAATAAAATATGACAGATAAGAGTTGAATGCTTAGGATTTTGTTTAACCTAACAGTCCTGGTATGCCATTCTATTGGTATCTTGCATGCTCAAACCCAACTGCCAATATTACAAGTATGGGTTGGCCAATCATAAGCATATACTGCAAGAAATTTACTAGTAGAACCACATTATTTATGAACCAATAGATGTTAACATCATAGATTTCGAATCATTGGATTTAGGTATGAATAGTATGACTGTTTCTAACCAAGACGATGAAATGAAAGATGATCAACTTAATGCAATGGCTGTTCCAGTGTGCTATATTCTTTACCTTTTCTATAACAGAAGTGGAATTAGGATCATGACAGTCCCCCTTGCTGTAGGATCCACATTTTCCACTAGGACTTCCAAAGCTTGCAAACTTTACACTGGAAATGACAGTGTTGGAGGGACATTTCAGATGGACTGTGGGTTTGCCTTTGCTACCATTGGTGCCCTTATGCCAAGATTCAGGATCAACAGTGGGAAAATCTTCTGAAATGACAGCACAGACACCTGTCACTCGTCGTCTTGAGAATTTAATCTCAGTTGGATTTCCACCTTTCTCCTCAAGGATCACCAGAATATTTCCTGATGGCCGAAACCAAGATCGTGGAACATGGTACCTGTTCCAGACAAAGAAATTCCCAGGAATATTCAGTCATAAACACACAACAAACACTCACCATATACTGAACTTGAAGTGTAAACTTTAATTCAGCTAATTGGTTTACCATCTTTGAGTTGGTTCTCCACAGCCAGTGTCACATTTGTCTGGGAAAAATTTGCCTCTATAATTGCATTCAGATGGACACTCATCATATACTGAACTTGCCCTAGGCCAGTATCTTCCAATTGGTTCACCATTCAGCCAAGCTTGGCCTTTCCCCATAGATAACATATCCAGCCCAATAGGATCATCTCCAGGTGGAGTATCAACAATTGCCTGCAAAATTTAAACAAATAGTAGTTTTTCAAGGCAATCTGGTAGGATTTTTTTCCCTTCATCAAGAAAGTATTGACCAATCAAAATGTACACATGCAACAGGCAAGCGATCGCCAAATCATGCAGTGCTATATTTGCTTTTGCTACTTGGCAGTTCAAACACAACATTATGAATTAAAGTGCTACAAGAAACAGCTTGGAATATATCTAGCTTGACAGAATGTCACAGTTCTAAAGGATAAACAACCTGATTTGCCACATTTCATCAGTTCTAGGGCTTTACTGCATATTGGTTGGATATGTAAATTTGGCATCAGAGCCTGCCCCTACATATGGGGTTTGAATAATGGAAAAGGGCTATGTGGAAGCAGTGTTTTAAAAAGTTAACAAGGCTTAGATCTTGAGGTTCATGCTTGGAAGTATAAGGAACATTCGTCACAACTTAAGATGCCTTGTGTGTGTTTTTAATGTGTATCTATTTCTGGTTTTTTACTAATAATCTTACAGTTCTTTTTTATATGATAGCTATTCATGTATATGTTCCTCCCATATAAAATATGCTCTTATTGTGCATGTTTTTACACTATCTCTTTTTATTTTGATGTTTTTCTTTTAAAAAATAACTCATTAGGCTTGAGCTTTTGCCTCAAGGCTTATAACTGATTCATCTAAAGGTGTTGGTGCCTTGCTTCGAATTTGTGTTTATATTGCCTGGGAGAAGGGCTACTTGGAGTAGAGTGAAAGCTGTCATGATAAGGGCTACCTGCTAGATCGAGAGCTATCCAGAGAGAGACACCAAGATGTCAACTGTGGAGCAAGTGGCGGTATGTACAGCGCTAAAGGTTAAATGGCCCGATTTTCTGTGTTTCATTGGTCCTAAGGATTTTGGCATATTGGTTGGATACGTGACAAAGAAAGCAAGAGAGCTTTTGTACTTAAGTCTAACTTCTTGATGAGCATAAAACTCTGTTTTTTTTCCATTCATTTGCTATTTATCTTGAATTTGATATCTTTTACCTACAAACAAAGACATTGACATAGTCAAACACTGAAAGTGTAACTTGGCAACTTCTGGAAACCCAAAAAACAAAACAAAACAGAAAGAAATATGTCCTCATGGTACATTCCGTATATTATCTTTTGCCTACAAACAAGGTTGCTAACATAGTTTAGTTCACCTAAGCATGAAAAATTATATGAATGTTTAGAAAATGTTGAAAACAATAACTTGTGTATGCGATGCAGTGACTTAGAAGGGCAGATTTCAGATAATGAAGTTTCAAGTTACATCAACTTTAATCCTCTTTGATGAATTGGCATAATTACTTAAAGAAGTGTTATAACATACCTTGTACCATGTTAGAGGCTGATTCTTTGGTGGATCTGAAGTTGAAACCCATTTCACATTATTCAAGCCATTAGGATTGTAAATGTTTAAGTGCTCTCCCTCCAGTCCAATCTGGGTAAAGAAAGTAAAGAAAAAAGAAAGACAAAAAGGAAGATACACTTTCAGATCTTTGCCATGATGCTTCACACTAATGAGGTTCTTACATGCAAGAGAAAAGATGAGGGATTTGACAAACTCTGACACCATCGAGTTACCTACTATGGGGATAATTAGTAATTCAAAGGGGCTTGGTATGCCAAAGAATAAAATGACAATTCAGCATAAAAGTAGAGGGGAAAATAATTTTATAGCATGCCATAAGCCAGGCATATACATTACTGATCTTGAAAATAAACATCTATAAACATTTAGAGAAAACATTTTTATAAAAACACTTTGTAAATACCAATATCCTTGTTACTCCACAGTACATACAAAGACTGAAGAGCAATGACAGAGATAAAACTAGGTTTATGAAAAAAATATCATGTTCTACTTATGTAATAGAAATTCAACCCATTATGCCTATAGATGATTAAAATTTCTAAGTATCAGCCAAAAATTCATGACAAAATAAATTCTGTGGGATTGAGTAATAAAATTACCTTATAGATCCAAGAATTTGAAGACAAGTCAATGGTTCCATTGTTAAACCCCTCTATCATGACATTGGTTAGTCCAGCTCCCACCCATTCATAAAATGGTCCTGCATTCTTAAAGAAACAAGAAAAAGATAGGGAAGGGTCAACAAAAGCAACTAAATAGGTGGAGAAAGTTAGGAACTATTATTTGTTGAGAAGTTCATTTCTATATTGAATTCTGACAGTCAAAACTGATTATTTTCCAAACTCAAAAACATATTGCTTCAATGAGAAGAACTTCAAGAACACTACCAATCTTAACCTGTTGAACCTAATTTCAGCTGGTATTTCAGATTTCCTAATTTATGCTGTAAGCGCCCATAATTTACAATAGATATGACACTGAACAGAATGGAATGGTGAAACAGGATTTTCATGTATCCAACCCCATATAGATAGGACAAGGCTTAGATGATGAAAATGATGATTTCATAATTTTTACTAAGGTACTTACAAATTTGTGAAAATCTTTATATGTGGACCAACAACCATTAGTTTACAGAAGATGTTGCTCTTTTGCTAATTGTTTGAAAACCTCTGATATTTCTTATGGTGTCTAAATTGCTTCAAGGAACACCCTCGCATTGAAATTATGTTCTGAACAATCATTGGGAACTAACTAAAGACGACTGTTATTCCCTACACCTAAATCCTCAGGCATATTACCAATATGAACCAAGGGATTCCTACTAGGAGCATGAACTAAATGAAGATACCTAAAACCAGTATGATAAGGCCTATTCTTTAGCAAGGCATTGAGACTTAGAAGTTGTGTTTATAAACTTGGAAACTCAAAGTACTAAGTAAGCTGCTGAATTGGGTAGGATCAGCAGATTGATGATTAACTTGAAACTTATTAGTTATTACAGAAACAATAAAAAATTAAAAAGATAAAGAGTTAATATAGGAAAATACAAGAAAATTCAGAAAATATGGATACATTATTCAGAAAGAAATTATTAAAATATCTGTTATTCTTTTGTACCAAGCAACTAAGTGGAAAAATAAATATCTTGCTCATTATACTGAAATTCATTACTTAATTATTATGTTTCCTATATATGTGTCCCCAGACCCCTTTAGGGGAGTTATGAAGCTTGATTTTGATGGATGCTCCTTGAGGAATCAGGCACCTTTGGGAAACAGACCTTTTAGGAATGTGGTTGGTGAGATTCTTTGGGTTTATTCAGGTCCCATTGATCTAAGGATTTGGTCCATGTAGGGCCTTATATTGATGGACTCTATTAATTCAGAACATGTTGAGGTAGAAGGTGACTCTAAGGTGGTCATTTTCTAGTTTATAACAACAGTTAGGAGAGAGATATGTCTTTAAAGGTAAATATCTTATTCAGATGGATCCAGAAGTTCTTTGCAGCCAACTGTTTGGCTGATAGCTTGGCTAGAGCCTAGAGGTGGTCTGGACCAATCTGAATTCTATTAGGAGATTCTTTATTAGTCAGATTCCAGTTTGCAAGAATCTACTGCTTAGTGCAAGGGTAAAGTCTCAGGATGACAAGTGTAACAGCTTGGATTCAAGTCTTAGAGCACTCACTTTGTGCAAAAATGCCAAAGGTTAGGTCTGTATCCAGTTCAAGTATTAGAGTAGCCACTTTGGGTAATGGCCCTTTAGTTCTTTTTGGTTTACCTCCTCTTGCATGGGGTTCCTTGGTCTTGGATTGCCTCTATGGTGGGCTAGGTAATTGTATTCTACTTTGTATGGTTAATGAAGTTTGCTTATATTCCTAACAAGGTAAATTAACTTTATACTAGGTATGACAATCAGAAAACTACTTGCAGGTATAGTCCATGTGCAGTGAGAAGATACGCAGAGGGACTCTCAGATAAAGATCTCCAAAAGCAAATACAATAATTATCTTCTCTCACAAAGTGAAAATCAAAATTAGAATGGGAGTGATGCACCTTTGATTGAAAAGGAAACATTAAAAGATAAATAAATAGTTAAATGGATTAATGGAAACATTAAATGGCTTCTAGTAACTCTAATTTGATTTTCTCAGCCAATTTTGTACAATCTTATGGATCTAAGATTAATAGTTAATAGAAACAATCTGAAGCACTATTAATTTTCTTTTGAAAAATAAATAAATGGATGGAATTTGATCAATGGGAGTTAAAAGATTTGGGTGGCCAAAAAGCATAAAATTTTTCTGTAACAGCATTGCTTTGACAAGCTCCTTGAATTAGAAGTGACAGATCCAACTTTATATATGTGATATGCCTAAATCCTCTTATTAGTAATGAGAGAACAAAATGAAATACCACCTGAAGGTTACTTGTGGTTGAAAAGTAATTATACATGTTCAGTGTTAGTCTTTTGCATTAACATGAAGCAATGGTTGCAAAATTGCAAGAGACCTTTATAAAACATAAAACGACTCTTAAATAGAAAAAAAGTGCAATGGCTTACTTGCAACCCAACAGTCATGCTTAGAAGAGCAATTTCATTATTCCCTGCCTTGAGGGAAACTGGGCTTTCTAATTTGAAAGTTGAATTAGCACCATTTCCAGATGCACTAGCTGTATATATGGATAGACATAAACTTGTAAATTCAACTATAGGAGCTCATTCATACAAATTACATATTTGACAAAAATAACTTATATTTAATGCGTTCACATTTACAAGCAAACATAAACTTTACAAAATATGAACACAAAAGATAAATTGAACAATAATAAAAACATATTCTTTTAGCAAACAAAGCACTAGGTATAAAATAAATGACAAACAAGCAAAACTGCTGATGCTAATATGAAGAACTAGATGACGAAAGTACATGGTTTATTTGTAGTTTATGTATTTGATGTACCATATTACTGTGGACCTGTATCTTTGAATTGTTTGTATTTCTGCCCAAACATTATGTAATTTTGCATACATTTGATGTTAATACAAAATTGATCCTTGGAGCAGGGATCAATACCTTTGACTGGCTGCTACTTATAACTTTATATGTCAAATATTCAGATATTTGATGTACTCTATCACAAGAGGACAGTAAGCATTAGCATACTTCCATTTAACATATCAGAACAGGTCACATTTAATGCATGATAAATGGAACTAAATTTTACATTTGATGTAATGTTGCTCTAATATTCAGATACTTCAGAGTAATTGTACAAGTACATTAAGTGATCCCATGTTTGACAGCAGGGTAATGGGTTCATTTCATTGAATCAATGTTTGGTTGGTTCTTAGGTTATAGTCCTTTTAGATGTATGTTTATTTCTTTCAGTTTACCTTATACAGTTGTCATATGTAGTACATTTATATAGCTAGAAGCACTTTTAGGGCTGTCCTTGGACTCCGAGGGTCCGAGACCTGATTTGACTCTGAATCCAATTATCCTGGATTTGGATGTTAGAACTTTCATCCAATTAGTAATTGGATCAGATACGGATTTAATCCCATCTGATCTGATTAAAATTCAAGTCCAATATAAAGTCATTACTTTATGTACATAGTAGAGGTGTAAATCGGGCCGGGCTGGTCTACGGGCTGGGTTGTGGCACGACACAATTATAGGGTTGTGCCGGGCTTCGGGTTTCAGGTTGGCAGGATGGCACGGCCTGCACTATCGTGCCATGCTGCCCGTGGCCCACAGGCCTGCCCGAAAAACTAGCTGTTGGAGACCCCCCAATGGCTAGTTTCAACTTTTTTGGGTTTTTTATAGAAATACCCCCCAACAGCTATAAACACCTATATAGGTGGTATTTATGTATTTTGTCTTTGGGAGGGAGATAAAATGACAATAATGACCCCCAACAACTATATTAACAACTAGTTTAGGGGGGTATTTAGGTAAAGTGATAAATGACTTTATAATAACCAAAATACCCCTCCCAACAACTAAAAAATAGCTAGTTTTTAGGGTATTTTGGAGAATTAATTTATTTTTAATTCCTATAAATAGCCTTATCCTCCACTGTCCTCATCACACAAATTCTCATACTCTCTTATACTCTCTCAAATCTTAATCTCTTCTCATACATCATACTCTCTCTACTCTTCAATTCTCAACTTGATTCAAGTTTCAACAAGGCTTGGTCGGGTATCTCAAGTTAGCAATTTGGGAGACTTAGAGGCTTCAGCCGTTGAAATCAAGTTGAAATTCCGAATCGGAAATTTGGGCAAGTGCAATTAAATTAATTTTTATTTTTTTATAACTAAAAAAAATGGACATCTCCTCTTCACGCTCTCGACACCAATTCCCCAACATGGTCAATGTCGACGATGTCAATATTGAGTTGCAATATGATAGTGTTAGCGTCGATATGGATGCTGCTGATATTGCTAACATTCCCACTCCTAGTACTGCTACTAGAGGTAGGGGAAAGAAAAAGGAGAACACTAGGTTGATCCCGGTTTGGACATTATTTAAAATAGAGGGGGTTGAGGGGAAGGAAAACTGGGAAAGAGAGTTGTTTGTCAAAAATGTAAGAGCGACTTTAGCTACTATAGTAGTGATGGTACTAGCCACTTGGGCAGACACTTGAGATGCCATATGATGAAAGAAAAAGAAGGGAAAGAAAAATCACAAGCACAAATAGGAAGTGAGATTTTTGGTACTTTTACATATTCCCAAGAAAAAATGAGGCAAGAATTAGCAAAATATATTGTGCATGCTGAACATCCATTTTTATTACCTGAAGATACTAAACTTGAAAAATTTTTACGTAGATCTGTAAATCCACAATTTAAATAAGTTTCTAGAAGTACTATTAGAATAGATGCTTTAAAATTTTTTTATTCATATAAACAAAATTTAATTTCTATGTTATCAAATCTTAATTCTAAAATTGCAATTACCTTTGATATTTGGAAATCTAGATTTAACATAAGTAATATTTGTGTTACCGGTCATTTTATTGATGAAAAATGGATTTTACATAAAAGAATTTTAAGTTTTACTAGGCTTGAATGGCCACATACTGGCCCAATTATTGCTACAAGTATTTTAAATACTTTACATATTTATGGAATTGCAAATAATTTTTTTTCTATTAGTTTTTATAATTCTAGTAATAATGATTCGGCAATAAATATTTTAAAATCTCAATTAAAACCATGTTTAAATGGTAAGTTATTGCATATTAGATGTGCATGTCACATCCTAAATTTATGTATTCAAGATGCTTTAAATATTACTTTTCATCATATTTCTAAAGTTAGAAATTGTATAATATATATTAAAAGTTCTGGAGCAAGAAAACAATAATTGAAATATTTATGTCAAATTTGTGGTTTAAAATATGAACATTTTGTATTAGATGTTCAACATAGATGGAATTCTACATATTCTATGTTAGAAAGTTGTATTGGTTACAAACAAATTCTTAGTGATTTTTATAATGCAAAAATGCCACATGATCCTATACTTGAGGAAGATTGGGAAATGACAATTTGTATAAAAGATTTTTTACAATTTTTTTTATGATGCAACTAATGAATTTTTTGGTGTTTATTATTCAACTAGTTGTCATTTAGTTAATCAATTATTTATAATTAGTGAATGTTTTGCAAAATATAGGAAAAATCAACAATTTAGAAGTATTATTGAAATAATGGAAAATAAATTTAAAAAATATTGGGAGAAAATTTCTCCACTTTATTGCTTAGCTGTAATATTAGACCCTAGGATTAGGAAAGATGGTTTAGAAATTTTACTTGAATCATATTGTGAAAATATGCATATTGAAATTGGAAATAAAATAGAAGAAGTTAATAGTTTATTATTTGAAATGTATAGTTTATATGAATCTCAAGTGGTAGGGCATAGGAAATCTTGTATAGGTGTAAGTCCACTTCTAGCTAGTTCCAGTAGTGGAATAGACAAAATTCAATCTCTATTACATAAGAGGCAGAAATCTAATACTAGTTCATCAGCAAGTTCATTTACTGAACTTAATTTTTATTTACAAGCAAGTATTTCTACTTTAACTGATTTCCAGAACAAGGGATGGGATAATTTTGATATTTTAGCCTAGTGGAGAGGATATGAAAAAAAACTATCCAGTCCTGGCCACCATGGCACATGATCTACTAATCCCTTCGGTGTCTACAGTTCCATCGAAGTCTTGTTTTAGTGCAGGTACTAGTGTGTTGGACAAAAAGAGAAGCTGTATGAATGATGAAAGTTTAGAGATGTGCATCTGCCTTAAAGATTGGTTGGATGTTGAGGATAGATCACAAGACAAAGGAGGGAATGACATTACACCTAATGTTTCACCTGAAGCAAATGATGAAGATGCAGGTGGAGGTGGAACTTGAAGAAAAATAATGAATTCAATATTTTTTTTGTATACTCAATATTTCACTATTTCAATTATTGCATTTTTTTTCAATTTTATTTAAATTAGTTGTTATTTTTCAACAGTGTAATTTTTTCTTTTCAATTTATAATTGTATTATTTTTTATATTCTATTCCATTTTCTATATTTCATTCATCCATTATCCATTGACTATTGTATTGTTCAAATTCAAGAAATAAAATTCCTATTTTTTCCAATTTGTTGTCCATTTTGTATTTTGTTAAGTATCTAAGTATTTTTTAATTTCTTTGCTAGATTTTTTATTTTTCCAATTTGTTCCCAAAGCTCAAAGGAATTATTGAATTAAGGAAAGTAAAGTATTTTAGAAAAAACAATAAAAAATGTAAAAAAAAAACAGTTTGGCCCAGTTCGGGTCAGGCTTCATAGGCTAGGCCCACGACACAGCCCGGCATGGGCCCGTACAGGCTTGGGCCGACTCCCTGAAGTATCCTAGGGGAGGGAAGCAAGGTCCAGTGCGGCCCACGGGTAGGCACAGCCTAGCCCGCACTTTGCACGGGCCGCACGCGGGCCATGCCGTGCCGGCCCAGCACGACCCGTTTGACACCTCTATACATATGGAGTATTTATATATATTTAAGTTTAATATTTTCTATTTAAGTATTTATATACATTTATTATACATACATAAGTAAAAAATAATTATTTTTTTTTTAACTTTTTAAACCTTTTGGCCATTTTAAACACAATAAAATGGTTGTAGATTAAATCCGAATCCGATCCAAAATCCGACATGATAATCAGATGCATATGCAGATCTGGAGGTTTCTTAATTGGATGTGGATGTGGATGCAACTAGATCTGACCGGTTTACAGCCCTAACCACTATTAGCAAAGGAGGTCATTTCTTTAGGGCTGCTTGCCTGAGGTAAGTAGAAATAACTATCTTCTTTGTATGAAATGATACGAGTAAGTTGTATTTGCACTACCAATAAAAAAGTAATTATATTACACTCTAGGTTATTATAGAATAGAGGCTAGGAAGGAACTCTTAAGTGCTGGTAGGAAGGATGAGAGAGGACTATGTCCTTTGTCTAGAGTCATTGTATTAGAGAGGATGGATCATTGGTGGGTGTGGGGGGAACTGGGGAGATTGGACACCACTTCTAGCCAAAAAGCTAAAGCTATTAGCAAGGTTCAAAATTTTGATATAGTGTTGGGCATATTGTATCGTATTGGGAGCTCTCTCATACCCCAAATAAGGGGTGTTTCAGACTTTAACCACTTTCAGGGGGTAGGCCTGCCTAAAGCCAACCCCCTGAAGCAATTTTGAAAAAAAACTAAGAAATAGTTAAGTATCGAAACACCTAATAATCCTGTTGGTGCGTATCAAGTGTATCAATACTTAAAACCATTGTTATTAGGTTGTAGGCCATCTTGAATATAAGTCCCTTGCCTCTCTTATCCCTTTCAAATGTGGGAGACCATCTGCTCACACGTGAATCCCAACATACGTGTGAGGCCCTTGTCGTCCACATCAACCCCACCCCCCACCCCCCCAAATGGAAAATGTTAACACAACAAGACAAGAGTGGGGTGTCTCAGGGATCAGACCTCCTAGATTAGAGGTTTTATTTTCTACTAATCCCTCTTCTTTTTCTTTCCTTTTCTTTTTTTTTTTCCTTTAAGTAATGAAACCTATTATCAAGAAAAAAAATTGATGCATGTCTACCATATGCTCTTGTAACAATAACTAGAGAACAAATAGGAGAAGCTTTTGTTATAAAAAATTCTGGTACTCTTCTTCCCTCATATCACCTACCATGGCTAGAAGAATGATAGCCCAAAGAGTACTGATTTTTTTTTAATCTTCTTAAGTTTGATTTTCCGAGAGTTCCATTTCAAGCCTTGGAAAAAATTAGAAGTGAACCCCAAATATCTCCAAGAAAGAGCCCATAACTCCATATTGAATTTGCAATGCATGCAAAAACGGCTAGTGTTTTGGGAAGTTCTTAGACATAGGGTGCAATTAAAGTTTTAGTATTGGAGAAAAATAATGGCTAAAAGAGAAAAGGAAACCACAGCTCAGCTAAGGCTTGTTGCTTAATATATTGTCTTTTGCAGGAAATGTTGTCCTGAGGATACAATCTCTTCGCACTGTGTATTGACCAAGGCTACACTCCTTGGGTTTTCATTTGAACAGTGCCAGAGTGCCCACATAAGACTGACAGAGTACTTAAATTAATAGAAAACAGATCATAAGGTTTCCAATGCAAAAGACAAAAAAAATTCATGGATATGTTGAGATTAAAGGAAGTATGACACTTAAAAGACCACTGAGGAGACCTGCAATTTCCAAGTTTCTTCTTCTGTACGAAGGTGAAGGGAGAGGATAGAAATTAACAGATTATGAGCAAACATCATTATATGGTATAAGATAATGTTTATGATGTTTTAACTTGTCAATTACAACGCTTAAGGAAAAAAAACAAAAAAAAAAAGACACCGCTTCTTGACTTTGTTTTCATTTTCTACTTGAATTTGAAACTGATAAAGATATCCTTAGATGAATGGTTGGAATTCAACACCATCTTCTAGATTCATAGCTGAAACTATAATTACTCTGATACTTATGGCATTCCTAAAACTAGAAGAACCTGATATTGTTGACTTTGTTCTTCTTTGGTACTAATATCATCTGTGTTTCCATTTAAACCATAACAAGAAAGTAGGTCTAGACTGATAAAAAATAAAATATAACAAATAAAAGTAGGTCCAGAGCTAGGAGACGAAATAGATAAGGATTTCAATAATATAAATAAATAAGTGTGTTATACAAGTATGCATTTTATTAAATGAACCAGGAAACAGTCTGAAACCATGTTTTATCATCAAGAATTTGGTTGTTCAACCACATGCCCAAATCAAATAATCAGATTATATACTCATCAACAGAAATTTCATAATGCTTTTGAGTTCTGATTTCAGAAATAAACAATAAATTTATCGCATTAGGATAAAGAAACACATTTTCTTGATAATATGGCCTATGTACTTAGTGCAGCTACTGGGAAGATGCCAAAGGTACAAAAGACGTATGCCATTTACTATGACTGTACACTTCTCAGCAATAACAAGTAACAACTACCAAGTGCAGGAATTTAAATAGGAAAATAATGCACAGAATGAACAAAGAACAAAGTATGCTATAGTTTGGAGAAAGATGATTGAGTAAAACATTTGAATAATCGCACAAGGAGAGATACAGAAGAAAAAGTACTGGCAAGGAGATTAGAAGAAAAGAGTACTGCATAAATACAAAATTAGAAGAAACAGATGATAACCTTGAAGTTCCTGATTCACAAAAGCAAGGAGAGCATGGCCCTTTGATGCAACTAAAAGAATAGGCTGTTTTCCATTTCTCAAGAACTCCTCATTTTCATCAACATGCAAACTGCCATGGCAAATACATATTTTAGAAAGAAACTGCAGCTTTAATTCTATTTAAAACTTATTAGATGTTCATCCAGAAGATGGAATCTAAAAGGGCCATTACACATGCAGATGGAACCTCTGGTTAGATAATTTCCAAATTATAATACCTAAGGTGACAATGAGTAGTTTGAGTTGGTAAATGTGCAACTTGAACTGGCACAAATTAAAAAACAAGTAGATTTAAGCTTCCATGAACCTAAAAGAGAAAAAAGGGTGGGTCTGGAAAGTTGTCAAGGTGAAAACATTTAAGTAATTCACATATGAATCAGAATTAGAAACATTAAAATCGTATGAAATCTAAATACATTCAGGAAAAGCCAACATGATAACTGGAGAAATTACGCAGGTTGGGTTCAAGGTTGGTTTCCATATATTATATTTTATTGTTACATCAGCTTCAACTTCCAGGTTGATTTTGATAACTATTTTACAAAATAATGGAGCAGAGCCTCTGATGTGTGCTCTATGTTGGTTCTCAAGAAAATGTTTAGACAGGTAAAATCCTAGTTTATGATATTAAACAGGTTACTAGCAGTCGAAGAACAAATGGTAGAAATTAATTCTAGGTACAGATGGTGGGCAGTCATACAATTTGTAAAACATCCTGACAATATGATGCACTTTATTTTTCCTTATTAGAGTCATGGTCCTAATTAGTATTACATTCTGTATCATAAAATTCGTGCACACTCCAATTCCAGCATTAATTCAGTGTCTTTTACAGATGAAACATGCTTTAACCAATTTTCCACCGTGACACTAACCTTGTTGTATACCAAAGGTAGTCAGTAGTATCTTTTGTGGTATTTATGTGATCTACAAAGCCATTTTTAACAAAGTCAGCTGCTCCCCATATCCCTGTCTTCTCTACAAATATGTCCCAATGCAAATTGTTTGAGCCTTTATCTGCTGATGTCACCATTGGCTGAAGATCCTCTGGTATCATTTCAACAACAGAAGTTTGGGAACCAACCTGTTGAAACATTTAATTTTAATTTAAAGCGAGATAATATATGTTTTCAGAAATTAGAAGACATGCAGAAAATGTGCATAACACTCTTATTACCACTGCTTCGTGAAATATTTTTTCATGATGTAAACAAAAGCACATCATAATATGTTACTTGATGGAAATTACAAAATACAAAGAATCAAGAAAATAGTTGACTGTCCTGGATGCTTATGATCTATTCAGAAAATGATGTGTAAGAATGAAGGTTAATTTCCAAAGGCTTCTTTTTCTATGAAGTCCTTTGGTTTGTTAGGCCATTTTACTGAACATTCTGCAAATTGATGTTATAGGGAATACAAGATTAGCACATCAAATAGTGTAACCTTCTTTAATAATGTAATGATTATAGCATAATGAAAACCATTTTCAGGAATAACTTATGGAGGCACATCAAGAAATGGAAGCTGAAAAGATACCTTTGCAGTGTTGAACACCTCATTCTTGCAATCTGGCAAGATGCTAACAGACCAAGCAGGCAGGTAATATGATGCATTTCGGAAAACTACTATTTTGTCATGTTCTTCATCCATGTTAGCAAGGAAAGCAGCACATTCTCCTGAAGGGTCAGCATAAACATCGGCCTTCAAAGAATGAAAATTTGGTTAAAATTTTTATTTATAAAGTAGCAAAAATTTAAGAAACAGTTGCAAGATGAAAATATTAAGGCACCCTTAATGCTGGTAAATTTTGAAATTACTACGGAAACCATACTAATACAGCAACCAACAATGCAGAATGAAACCAGTAGGAGATACATGAAACTGAAGATCCAATATATACCTAACATGGAGATATGATGAAGCAAGAATGCAAGACAATAAAGTGATACATGTTCATAATTGATGCAGGGGGATCTCCTACCAAACTCAAGGTCCCATAAGCATCAAGATAAAGATATGAACATACCCTGAGAAGCACAAAGATTGTTTTCACTGTTCTGTTTTGTTTATGTAATTGATTTATTGATATTTTAATAGCCTTCTATGAGATGGCCAGATGGTGGTTATAGAACTCATATAGATTTTTTTTTTGATAAATTAGAGCTCATATAGATTTCATATGTTCCTTTTATGGCCAGAAATATTTGTCATTAAGAACTGTTGAATGTTATTTCGTTTAAAAGTCTAGAGTTATTAAATTTAGAAAAGTAACCTAAGGTCACATATATCCAATGCTTGGGAGAGTTAATGAGCAAATTGCTTCAAGAGTATCCAGAAAATTGTAGTACTATATAAAAACTGTACAAGACTAGTAATCTAGGGCCTCTCTTTACAAGAAGCAAAATAAAATAAAGTATACAATCATTAACAGTAATGCTTCCCTCCAAGTGGTTTATAAATAAGCATTCTCAACCAAAATCAGATTCAGTGAAATGAGAAAATATTTTCTTGATAAGATATCAGACCAATGAAAAGACTTCATATCTTATGGGGATTGCGTTCTAAACCTTCAAATCTAGATCAAATTTACATAATTTCTTGGATAATTTTATTCAGAAGTGTTGGTTTTCTTTCCTTTCCTTTTTTCCTCTTTTTTGTGTTTTGTTTGGGTGAGAGTACTCCAAGTGAGCATTCAGATTCTGTTTTCTTTAATATTGTTGCTTTTCATTCTGCATAAAGTCATGGTACCAGATGTATCAAGTTTGACATACATCCTCCTACTTAACATTAATAACATCTTTATTACTTACTTTCTTTGAGAAGAAATTACTTATGCACATACTTCAATTATGTGGAATTCCTAGATTATTCTCTCCTGAGTGTTGAAACAAAAAATTACTAGTCAACTCTCATTTTGTTGAAGCAAAAAAATTATTGCAGTCTCAAACTTCAGGCATTAGAAATTTAGAATATAGAGAAAAGTATCATCTAATGATTCAATAAAAAAAGAAAATATGTTATAACAAGTTAACAACTAAAGACAACACATGATATTAAAACAATATATACTAATAAAAATTTAAGAAAAATAGACAATGAAATGAAATCATGGGTAACATCCACCCATTGTATAATATTTAGGTTTCAATATGCCAATGCTTGATTGGACATATTGTTTGATATCCTAGCACATACCAAGGTCACGAGTTTGAAAGGAAGGACAGATACCTCTTGTAATGGACCTAGAGGCAAAAGGGTTGGTTCATTATGGAGTAGTGCATGCTCACACAACTTAATCGCTTTATGGAGTTCCTTCAAGTGTCCCCATTTTGGAAGTCTTGCTAAACCTGAAACTCATTCAATATGTACCTATTAAGATTACACAATCATATTACAGATTAAGAACTTAACAACTTATTTGTAGAATGAGAAATGCAGATAACCTACCATATTCATCAATTGGTGCATCATAATCATAGCTTGTGGTAATGAATGGTCCACCTGACGTCCGACCAAAATTTGTTCCACCATGATACTGAGCCACAGGAAGGAGAGATAGGGAAGTTCTTTAATATGTCAGTAACAATGAAACCATTGAATGCAAATAACAAAACTGGTGGTAGAGTTAAAGAATATAAAATAGAATAAAAGGAAACAACACAAAAAAATACCTCCTTTTAGGAATAAATATATGAAAATATATAAAATACCATGTAATAATTTTGTACACTACCGCCTTTCTGGAAAAAACGAGCAACAGCATAAGCAACATCTTCAGGTGGCCTGTGAGGACTTCTTGCCCCAAATGTTTTAAACCTGAAATACCAATAAATATGATCACTTCATGAGATTCAAGAAACTTCATTGAATGCATTGAAAAGGCCAGTCTTTAATTCTATGGTGTCAAACTACTTTGAGTTTTAAATTGAACTCGTTCACCTGGATACTGTCTGAGGAATTCAACAGTTACCCATTCTCCCAATGGCATGTCTATGGATATCTTTTTCTGATAAATAACTTAAATTTTATTAACAAACTTAATGTAACATCTATACAAGCATCCCTTAGAGAGGCACAAGATGCTACCTCTCAAACAATAAAACAAATTACAATTGTGCCCGGAATAAAAAACGATCTATTCACCCCTTGCTTATCCAAAGCATCCGACATCCCATTTGCTAATCTCCTCACCCATTGTATCCTCAAATGCATATTCCTGGTAAGCCATTTAAATCTTTTCATTTCACTCTTGTAGCACCAAACTATGGATTATGGATTCTTTAACCACTCCACCACCACTTTTGAATCCCCTTCAATCACCACATTTGACAAGTTTATCTCACTATCGATCTGCACCCCTTGTATTGCAGCAAGCAGTTCTGCTTTGAGGGAGTCACCCATACTCGCAGGGACAGAAAAGAGTGCTATAAGTTCACCTTCTCCATCTCTCAAGACCCCTCCTATTCCAGAAGGGCCTGGATTACCCTAGTTACACCCATCGCAGTTCAGTTTAATAAAGCCTTCAACTGGTGGTGCCCAAACAACCTCCATTCTGCCTTTCTATTAGAACCTTCAGCAACTACTTCCCAAGTCCTCCAAATATCATCAAAAGAAAACTGGGAGAACAACTCCAAGGTCTTGATCCAATAGATCACCCTAAGGATCACACAGTTCCTCATTTCTTCCTTCTCTCCTTCTTTGAGAAAATTCTTGCATTCCTCACTTGACACATCTCCACATTTATATCTTTTCATCACTTTACATTGAAATGTTACAGAAGGAAATCAATAAAAATCAACTTGGTAAAGGGTTTGTCTTATAGACCATAGGTGGAATTAGAATCAGTACAAGGAACAAGAATCTTAGAAAAGTATTGGTTCAAAGTCATTTGGAACATCATAATGAAATAAACTATACCTTTTTACATTAGAAACTAATGTATATGTCCTCACTTTAGAAGAGAAATATAGTCAATGCTTGTACTTATGCTAGCCCACTTGATCCACCTATCATATGTGTGGGAATAGTATGCACTCCCTGTTATATCCACCAGCTTATATCTTGCCAAGAAATTAATCACTTTTCACTGTGACATCTGTTTATTCTAATCCATATTTTCCCCTTTCCTAATTAATTTGAATGTCTACCTACTGTTTTTGTATATTAAAGTCTTCTTGAGGACGTAAAACACCCAAAGCAGAAAAAAAAAAAAATCTGGTCAAAGAAATCTAGGCATTGGAGAAGATAGCATATGATAACTAGTTAATTCAAGATAAAATAAATGGATGGTGGGGTTAGTATATACTATATAGTTATGTATCACATGCAAAACTTACATACGATGGGGTTAGTGTATACTATATAGTTATGTACATTCACATGCAAAACTTACATAAAGAAGTACAAGGCCAGGTTTATTCCAGGGAGTTAACTAAGAAATAATTCTACAAATTGAAAATGAAACATCAACCATCATCCAAGCCTTGTCCGAACTATATGAGGTTGGCAACATGAATCCTGTTTTGCCATTCCAGTTTGTTTGAAGCCATATCCATTGTTAAACTATGAGCACTTAAAGCATTTCTTACTAATTCAACCCATGTCCTTGTTGGTCTACCACTAGCCCTTCTATGCATGTGACCAAACCATCGTACTCTACTTTTTCTCATTTTATCACCTATTGGAACTACTCCTAGTCCTAGATTCCTTCAGATGACTTCATTTCTGACTCTGTAACCCTTTGGAAATGAAACCTTTATGACATAAAATGAGGCCAAATACAGAGCAAACATAAGTGACTGCCAATGAGATTGCTTTACAACCTCTACATGTAGCTGTCAACAATACCTGACATTATTAGATTTGGCCTTGAATTTCTGATAGAAGCACAGAAGATGATAGAAGCCATGACTGAGTGTTCAAGAAAGGCTTGAATAGAAAAACAGGGACGGTAGATATTAAAAAGACTATTGAAGAATGTATTACTCCTTATAAGGCTTTTCTAGGAAAATCCTGTCAGTGGCAATGGGGGAAAATAGGATCTAGGATATTAATCTACAGGGATATTGTGGTGAAAGAATGGAAATTGCCAGTAGAGGCTTCCTAGAGTTCAACTTTTTATCTTGATCAGGAATTCAGGATAGTTGAGATGACACCAACTGCCAGGGCTATCAAGTGCCAGCTAACATTTCAGTCTTAAACAAGGATGACATCTACATATTTCCAAAACCAGAAAAGGCACAAACCCCACTGAACTCATGTGCATAAATCATTTCTTTGCAATTGTATGAAAATATTATTGACCACAACAAAGAAAGAAATTATAATAAATATTTCTCAAGAAAAATATTTTCATCAATTTCTTCCTATTTTATATGGTGTTTCTTTAACATTTTGACTATTCATCAAGGTGAATAGTATATATAAGCATTTAGTTGGGAAGGAAGAAAACACAAAACTGGAATATTTTAAATAGTATAACAATGAAGAAGGAGAAACTAAAGTCACTTATTTCTTGCTATCCTTTTCCACCCTCATTAATTTATGACTTTGGTTTCATTTACCCTTATTCACTTTTCTCTTTTTGTTCTTTTGTGCTCAACTTGTCAGGAGTTGAAAACATTTCAAGATCTATTCTTTCCTAATCAAAAGAAATAAAATGCAATATATCATATACTTCATGTTGAGATAATCACATGAAATTAAACAAAAGAAGTCTCAATTAAAAACGTGAAAGATAAAATGAACGCTAATATAAAAAAAAAAAAGATAAAGCATTACCATCCAGGCCAATTCTCAGTCCACATTTTTGGTTTGTTGACAGAATTAGGTTTAAACTGGTCGCAGTAAAATGAATTACAGGTATTGATCTGCAAAAGTGAAAAAGCAAGAAAGCAAAATTATGCTCCAAGTTGAATGCTGAGTACTTACCCATAAAAGAACTTGATTTAATTTTACAAGGTGAATTTTATCCATTCGTAAACATGATGAAAATCATGCAGCAGAAGCATATAGGGTCCTACACACATCAAATGCAGTTGGGAACTCCTTTTACAGTGTAAGAATAATAAAATGCTAAAAAATCTTCAACTGCAAAAATGAAGAGGAATTAATATCAGAAACAATGATGCAATGCTAGATATACACCATTGTATCCATAAAATACCTACTGTTATTTATCTTTGAATCAATGATCTTTCCTATTTTTGTATTTAGAAAACTGGTAGTGACATGATTGTATTGTAAAATTCGGTTGATTCGATCATGTCCAGTGAAAGCCATATCACTGTGTTCATGTTGCTACACTTTTTCCACCTTTCAAAGCATTGAAGTTCATTATTAGTTTCCCATATTAGGCAATCCAAACTCATTTCAGTGCACACTTTCTACATTGACTATTTACTAGATATTAGTTCAAGTCTACACCATAGGGAATAAAATAAAAACTAGTAAAATTACCCTTGTAGGCTGTAAGTTGTATTCTCTTTCAATAAAGCTACTTCAAGTCCAGCAGATCCTATTCCCTACCAGGATATTCTCAAAAAGAACATATAAAGGAAAGGCATAATACAGTTTTTAAATGGTTTCTCTAATGTATTCACACCACGTAAGATAAATACTAACAAATGGCTTTTACCGAGAGCGAGAGAGAGAGAGAGAGAGAGAGAGAGAGAAAGAGAGATTCTTGAGCATAAAAAACATAAAATAAAAAAGGTGAAAGTGAAAAACCACTCACCACAGGATCAGGAGCATCATATTGTTGGCACATTATCCAAGGTACACCTATATCTTGAGAAAGAGCCATTCTTGCAGCCCACATAGCATATGGCTTTCCCCCATCTCCATATACCCTTTCAATGTCTCCATATTCATTTTCTACCTACAAAAATTAAAAGTATGGAAAATGTAAGTTCAATTCCTCCACAACATAGAAGTATTAATTCTGACATTTAAATTATGGCCATTTTAAAGCTAAAGTATGGTATTAAAATAAAAAATAGTAAATGTGAAAATAAAATCCCAACACAGATATGTAGCACAGAATAGATTTTAGTTTTTGCTTCTATAAATTTTCCGCATTAAAGTTATAAGATTGTTAGACCTAGTAAACAATGATAGTTCTCAATGAACTCAATTAAATAAAATGCATCAAGTACCAACAACCAAGCCAGAAGATAATATTTAACAGAAATTAATTGTTAAATTCAAACACTAATAAGGTTTCAAACACCACAGAAATGGAATTGAGGAACCAGTCATATAAGTTTCAGAGTTCTCTTGTTTGGGATCAGTTCTCTAGTCAAATGGACTTAAAGCCTTCATTGTTTCAACTTTTTGAACTAAGCCCCTTCCTCCCTTTCCGCAGCAAAAAGAAAGGAGCTCCAGTATGGTTCTGATGGAGTTGATATTAGTCCAGATGAGAGAACTGAACTCTTGATGTGTGGGCATGAATTTAAAAAATAAATAAATAAATAAACTAGTTTACTAGTCTTCATATATAAGCTGCCCCTTGCCTTATTGGCTATGGATTGGAACCAATAGTTAAAAGGAACAAATTCCATTACTGAATCCCTTGATGTACAGAACGGTAAAATTGGATCCCCAAAATGAGCCAGGAAAAGAATGACACATACAACAACAAAATTATTTTCCATGAATCAGCCCTAATTTCCTTTGATGATGATGTAGGACAAGAGGTATCTTTAAAATATTGCACTTCAACTAAATAATGTGAATAATAGACAAGAAAACAACCAAAAGGTTAAGGAATTCAATTGGTTAGAAACCAATTAAACAGCCAGAAGAAATGGGTGTAGAGTCACTGAGAAAGAGACAAGTCATAAAGAATAAATTGTGGAAATGCAGCCCAATATGTAGAAATCATTAATCAACCATCCCCTATGAAGTCCAAAAGATTTTGTTTGACCAACACAGCAGAGCCCAGCACATTTAGAAGAATAACAGAAACCAAGTTCTGCATAGTGTCAGAAATATGCACACCAACTGACAAAAGCAGTCGCACTCAGAATACACAGGACTTTTTGATGTTAGAGAAGGATGTAAAATTGACTAGATTGCAACATTTTTGTCTTTAAGATTCCAAGTATCCATATATAGAATGAAAAATGAAATTGTTAGTTTTTTTTTTCGTTTTTTGCTTCCTTGGGGATAAAGATCAATGCACAAATGACAAAATATTCTAACTTAATTTTATGTAGATAAAGAGTTACACTTGCCTGAGCCAAGATGATAGGACCTCCCTGTGATGCGAAAAGCTTCTCCCTCTTCATCATGTTCACTATAAATGTTGTGAAGTTCTGCATGTGATTCTGAACGACAGATGACTCAATTAATAAAAACGATCAAAACCAACATTTATTATAGGAAAAAACACAGATGTTTATACAGCTTCAAAAGTTAAACACAGATGAACCCTTTAGAGTATTATAAAAGCAGACCAATTTCAATACCTTGAAGGGCTCGCTATCAGTTCGGAAGACTGTGCCAGGCACATAATGCAGCCAAACAGGTACACCACTGAAATGCTCCATTAACTCATCGTCAGGATTATGAACTTCTAAACCACAAATAAATTTTAGTTGCTTCCAAAAATGTATAAAATCAATAACACAAATATGTACACAGGACCAGTTATTAATACAATCATACTTTACCTTCTTTCAAAAAAAAAAAGTATAAATTGATAATGCAAAACATCAAATTTGCAGTCTAAATTCTAAAACAGCTGCTGGCATACCCAAAGTTCCACTCTGCTGCAACAAATGGTCCAATCCTCAATATCAAATACATCCCAGCTCGCTGAACAATCTTCACAAACTTGACCAGATTGTAGCGCTTATCAAAATAATACTACAAGGTTCAGAGTAAAGAAATCTAAGTTCCTCTTGAGCAAAACACAACAAAACAACAAAGAATCAGAGCTGATTCCGAAGTTAGTTGCATCCAATAAAACATCCTCTGATTAACTCACATTGCCTGGAGAAAGCTCATGTCCATTCCAGAACACATAAGTCTCTATTGCATCAGCCCCTCCTTCTTTAGCAGTTTTAACGAGCTCAGGCCACATCTACTTCAACCCACATTTACCATTATCAAGATTATGAATAATATCCAGAAAACTAAAGGAAAATAAGCAAAAACCAAACAAGTAAACGAAATTTCTTCAATTCAGGGCCGAAACGGAGCAAGAAAGGACGAAACTCACTCCAGGAACACTGCGAGGGTAATGAATGGAAGAAGAAATGATGAGCTTTCTCTGGCCATCGAAGATAAGAGAACGACTGTCATACGTAATATTAACGGCTAAAGACAATGCAGAGAAGTAAAAGAAGAGCAAGAACAGAGGAGCCATGGAAATGGAGGTAGAAATGTTCTTTTCCGCCATTGTTGAGCTCAGCTAGAAGCTCATCTGAGCTCAACTACCCTTGAGTCCAAAAGGGTCTAAGAAGCAAAGCAGAAATAATCTGCATTTAATCCAACAAGATCAAATAAACTGGTTTTATAGCAAAAAACAGAGCGCGTTGATGTCAGCAAGACGGCAATGGTCATTACTCTTCAACCAGATTCCTGCTAGAGAGAGAGAGAGATAGTTTAGCAAAAGAAAACAGCTTTCCAGATTAACAGCTTTCCAGATTCAGAGTCAGAGAAGATTTACTTTTGGCTTAAACGAGTTTATGTGATTTGCGAATAGAAAACGACTAATATTTGATGGCGGTTCTACGAGGAAACATGCGTTTCCCCCCGACATCCACCGCGCAACCGATGTGATATCTTGTTTGGGTCCCACATTTCATCAAAAGATTGATATCTTTTTCGCGTTGCCACATGATCTGTATTTGTGGTTTGGGTCCCACCTTAAATGGCCTACGTGATGGATGGCAAGAAGATCAGGGCCCACCACTAACTGTATAAAAAAGGACGTTTGCCAAACAATCTCTGCGTGTTAATACTTTGGTTTATTAGTTATTTTTTATATCTTCAAAGTATCGGTACAAAAACACATGCGCTTTATTAGTTTTTTTTTTTCGAAAGTTGGTTTTTAAATAATTTTTTATATACTTTTTTATTAAAATATAGAAGGATCCCAAAATAGCTGTTTATAAATGTTTCGGGATTCAAAAGATACGACACGATATACTGAAACGAACTATAAATTAAGGCCCGTATGGGAGAGCTGAGATGTTGATTCAGCTTAGTGGTTCAGCACTTCAGCTGTTTTCAACTATTTAAATTTTAAAGAGGCTGAACCAGATAGCCTTTCAGAAGACTGATATAGTCTTGAGATTTTTCACCAAACAAATCTTATAGACCATTCATGTGGGGTCCACATTTGGAAAGCCAGAAACCACTACCTGAAAGCCCTTCCTAAGGCTCCATTTGGAAGGATTACAAATACAAATATGTAAAATACAAAATCTTATGTTTTGTATTATTTTATATGTATTTATATTGTATATATTTGTATTTGTTTTCTTTCTAAACTAAGCCTAATGGACACTTAAAAGTTATATTTAGTGAAAAACCTAGAATGTCCCGATATACTTTCTTTCGGTCATGAAGCAACCTTCGATGGTACTAGTTTTAGTAGTTTCTTCAAAGCAGTTAAGTCAATACAGCTCAGTTAAAACTGAACATTTCCGAACAAGCTCTTACCTCCCGGTTAAACTCATTAAAAAATTATTGATCATCCCATGTGTGGCACATTAAGCTTGTTAAGGCTGCATTTGTCATTTCTTATTTTAAGGATTTATCTTAAATGCATGAATGTTTAACTACAAAAGGAGATAAATCTTTAGTACCAAATGCAGCATAAACCCATTAAAAATCAAAATGAATTTGTACTCCAACTCAGCTTTTAGGTGTTTAGTGAGAACACCATAAAATTCTCAATGCAAAACTAAATTAGGACAAATTTGTATTCACTTTTTGCACTCTTAAGGGTGTATTTGGTTGTAGTGCAAATTTATTTGTACTAGTACAAATGCATGAGAGTGCAAATGTAAAAAATGCAAATTCTTGTTTAATTTTGTTTTGGATTTCACTTTATTCTATTTCACATCTAAATTTACTTCATTTGTACTGCAATTAAACAAAATAAGCCGAAACATGAAACAAAAACAGGTTAAAATATACACTCAAATCATTTGCATTACCATGATTTTGCATCAGTGTAAATTTATTTACATTGCAACCAAACACATCCTAAGGAACTTGCATGTCAACTTTAATAAAAATAAACGCAAATTGCATAAACTTATGAATTTGACTTTTGCCCATAGTAATCCATTTATTTTGTTGGAAACTTTTTTGCTTTGGAAATGTTTACTGTCATAATTGTTTAGGAAGTGGAAGAACCTTGCAGAAAAATAAAGATTTCATCAATGTAAAACTTTTAAGTGCACCAACAAAGCAAAGGGCCACCCTAACTAAATGGGACCCGTCAAACTAGCTCATTGACATAATGGACAACTTTATACCAGTGTTCAAACAATATGGGACCCTCAATCACCCCCACTTCCATACTTCTTTCTGATGTATATACTCACTTTCATGCAGGATTTTTCTTTAATTATAACTAATAGAAAAATTAAAAAATATTTAATATAAAAAGTCCAAAATTTTAGAAAGTATTTTTCTTTCTAATGTTTTCTGTAAAGCATACTCTCAGTTCTGACACAATAATAATAATAATAATAATAATAATAATTTAAAAATTAGGAAAATATACTAGATCTATTTAGAAAAAGGTCGAAACAAGCCATTTGGTATGTCCATAGTTGAACATATCACATGTGTTCTTATCCTCAATTCAGGTTCCTGGTGATGGTGTTCATTAATGGGCTAATTTGTCTTATTTTCCCACAGGTAACGTGGCACAATTCCTCCCTGTACAAACACTTCTGTGATGGGAAAAAGCTTCTAATACTCTTCAGAGAAGTTAACAATTTTGGCTAGAAAAGCTAATTACAGAAAATTAGTGAGAAAGGAAAAGTTTGGTTGCATTTGATTCCTTGAATTAGTGAGAAAGGAAAAACTGGGAAAATGGGAAAAAAAATCTGGTTTGACAGAAGTAAGACAAAAACAGAGAAAGTTGAGGACTTGAGGGAAAATTCTTTCTATGGGTATGAATATAAAGTATAAACTTTTAAAGACCCCTTTACATAGTCATTCCACGTGGCAACTTTTAAAGACCCCTTTACGTGAGAAGAAATCCTCTCTTTTTAGAGATCTTCCTTTTTAAAAATGTTGATGGCTAATTAGATCTAGTAGAAAATGGTCCCACTTCCAATTGCGTGGGACCTACCGTTCCATTTGATAGATGTCATGAGTGCCACCGGAACAGCATGCACGACGAGTTCATGCAAATAGATATGGATAAAGGGAGGTATAACATTTTTGCTTTGCCACTTGATACAAGTGCTTTTTTACGTTGCTCCCTCCCTCTTGCAAATTAGGGCAGTCAATGGGTCGGGGCAAACCGGATAAACCCAAATTGAACCAACCCATTTATATTGGGTTTGGGTCCGATCAGTTTTACTTGTTCTGAACTAAAAAGTCTATGACTAAACTGAGATGAATTTGATACATTGCAAAGAAGACCATGTTAGAAGGGATTTTACTTGGCTTCTACCAGATGATTATAAATTTTAAACCCTAAACCCCTAACCCCTAACTCTAAATCTTAAATTAATCAATGCTAAAAATACACACAATCAGGTCCATATCCTTGGACCGGGTGAGAACCAATTATCATCTTATCAAAAGAAGTTATTTATTGCAAGTTGAAGGGCATAAAAAAAAATTAAAGGATAACATAAAAGAAATTAGATGGAATAGAAATAATAAGAAATGATTTAAGTATACATACAAGGAATATGGCACTAAATAGAAAGAAATGCCAAAATAAAATTAATGTAGCTGATCCCATAAGGCTTAGAGGATGATAATAAATTTTAGTTGTTCTGAGTTGATAAATACCTAAAATGACTATATGATGAATTTAATTATATATAATTAGGTAAATGTATATTAAATATTAATAGCTATTATTATTTTTTTTATAAAAATATAACTACTCATGATTGTGCCTAAATAAGTCAAATTTAAGAAATAAGAAGATTCATTATCAAATTACATGCTAAAAGTGCAACCATGGATTATATAAATATAATCGGTTTTTAACGGATCACGTCCGAATGCAGACCCGGTCCGAAATTGGATCCGGTTTTTAACGGATCATGCTAAAAGTGCAACTATGGATTATATCGTACGTAGACTTGTTTATGGGCCGGCCTGGCCCCTGGACGGGCTTGAACATGTTTATAGGATCACAGGTTTAAACTCGAGTCAAAAAGCCCAGCCCGTAATAAATTCAAGTCGGGTTTGGGTTTTGTCAAAATAGCTCAGCCCGACCTAAAATTAGACTTAAAATGGGTTATGTGATTAATGTCAATTTGAATAAATTTTTTGATTTAAGAATGTAAAACAGTATTTTAAAACGTAAAAGAAAAGGAAAAAAACCATCTTATAGGCTCATTGTTCATTTAAATAAGAAAAAAAAAAACATCTGAATTTTTAATTCTAATTTGAATAAGAAAAATCGTAATTTTTTTTATTAGGTCAGGCTTCGAATTCGGGCTTCGGGCTTTTTATCAAAGCTGGGCTCAGGCCTAAGTTATAGGTTAATTGATCGGACCGAGCTTGAACTAGGGCCTAACGTATTTCCATTAGTGATGAATAAAAGCCCGCCCCGGTCAATGAAGAGGTATTATCGTACGGTAATTCGGTATTGTTCATGTCCGTCCAACAGAGCAATGGGTCAGGAAAAAGAAATATCTGGTGTAGGGTGGAGGCCCATTATGTTATGAGTGGGACCCGCCCTTGAGTTCCAAGGCAACAGGCGCACATGGGTAGCCGCGTGAACTTCCTTGAAAACAGTTGTCCCCCGGTTGGACGTTGGAGAAAATGTGTCTCCACTCGCCGCTCGTGATCCGAATATATCCCCCCAGTTCTCTGTTGAACCCACCAAATCTCGATCCGATTGGCGTCGTGATGGACAGTCTGAGGCTGTCAGCGTTTGTGTCGGTAGAGAGTACCTTTCGGTCCCGGAGGCTTTAAAACGAATTGGCATCTGCTATTCACACAACGCTCCTCACACTAATCTAACCGTAAATTGAAAAAATCTTTCGTATTTGTATTTATCATTTATTGGGAGATATTCTGAATGTACAGTCACGACATGCTATGCTATGAGGTTGGTGTGACCCTCGAAGTGCTAATTGAAAGGGAGGGACTATCCTCTTTGGTTCACTTGGTTTGGACTTCTGACCAGCCTTCGGAACCACTGTCCATCCAAAGAAGTCCTCAAAGTAGAGCTGTCAATGGGTAAAGTGTATTCCATAGAACTGAATTGACCGATTGAATTAAAATTAGTTTTTAGGGATGTAAATGAATTAGATCGGATTAGAATTAAGATATATCTGAATCCGATATGATAATATAAATTTCTTATTCAATTTGATCGAAAGATTTGATTTCGAATTCAAATATGTTATGTCAAATATCCAAATTTGATCAAATCTGATTTAATTTCTCTAAAATTTAACAAGTTTTTAAATAAAAAAAAAACATATAAAGA